TCTTCACTGAGCCTAAGGCGAATTTCGAAGCGGAACCGGCTGCCAGCGCGAAATCTTCGCGTTTGGACAAATCAAAATCTTCCACTTTTTCATTTCATACTGCGGAAACGAAACAATCACTGACGAAATCTTGATCAGGAGGTAGTTCCGTGTGTCGACGCTTTTCCTTCTGACAGGTGCGTCGGCCCTACCTCATCGTACAAGCAGGAGATACCTTACTGAATCGTCTTCACTGTCATCGTGTGTTCACCACGACTAGGACTACAGCAACATATTATAAGTATTCCAATACCAGTTCAACATTTTCATTTTGCCAAAAAATTACAGCAATAAACACTCTACGACTACCAAAAGCGTTTTCCATTCTTCCAAAATCCAAAACCTAGCTGCCTGCTCCATCGCATTGACCACGTCCGATTATTCCGCGACAAACGGGGTTCCACGAGCATCTTCCAGAATTGCATGTCGTCGAAAGTCTTCTTTTACAATTTCGTACTTGTGCCCCGGCGGATTTTCGTCTGCCGTATCCCTGACGTACTCGGGCATCGGAAAAGCGGGCAGTCTCCGACCACTACTACTTTGGAGCCACTTCACCACCACTTCTTCCTGTTCCAGCCATGCACTGAGCTTGTTGTCGTCGAGGGAGCCCGGCAAGAGTCTTTGGATCTCCGGAAACAATCTCGCAGCGGTGATGATTGAGCACACCGCGTCTTCCAGCATGACCGCATGGTACCGCACTTCGTGGTAATCCGGTGGTGCTTCCCGGTGCAGCTTGACGATCCGGCAAAATGCAGGAAAAATTCGCAAGCAAACCGCGGGAAAGTCATCGGCCGCCAGTAGCTTCATGACCTTCTCCAGATCCAGGACCTCGGAAAGTTCTGACGCGACCAGGAATAACCGCTCCGTGACAAGGTCAAACCATTCCTCGGAAACATGAAGTTGATTCAGAAAAAACTCCCGGAGGCTCATGCGTTGTGAAAGCCGCCCGTTCAGCTTCTGACGCGCCAACTCCTCCTGAAGTGTCCATGAATGTGAAGACAAGAATTTTATAAACAGATCAGCGACGCATATCAAAAACAGGATCATGATGCGGATACGCGCACCAACATGCAAAGAAAAATACTAAAAATCATCTTCTGCTGGAATTACCTCTTGCTTTCTACGATTTCTCCATGCTCGCATGAGAGCACGAATCCGTGGTTCCCTCGAATGCAGGTCGACAAACTTGGTTGCAGCTGATAGCGGATCGACGTGTTCGCCCTTGTTTCGCTTCGGATTCGGCGGAGACGAATACTGGATCGGGTGGTAGAGATCGCGCTCGGGCATAATTTGCAGGGGAACCAATCCGTTGTCAAGAACCGTCTTGGGTAAGTACTTCTTCCAGAAGTTCGTCAGCGGAATCTTCGTGTGCGTCCGAATGCTCACGGTGAAGGCAAGCCCCCCGCGAAACCGACCCACCGAAGGATCGAAAAGCACCTCTGCTCCCTCGTTCGGAAGGACGAACAGGTTGTGCGAGGCACGGTGACCGTTCGCGCTTGCTAGGTAATTTTCCGCGTCGAAGGCACTGCAGGCGGACAGGCTCTCCCGGGTGGTCCCCACCACTGCCTTCCAATGCTCGTCGCCGAACATGGCTCGCAGCGTCGCCGCATCCATACGGCCGGCAGGAGACTCATCTACTAATGCAGTCCCGAACATTCCGGCTGCCACACGCAGCTGCGGGAGCTCCCAGGGTTTGTAATAAACAAGACTTCTGCTAGAAGTACCGTCTGGCTCCTGGCGCTGTCGCGGCCGGGCGCGCGACTCCAAAATCTCACGCACGTCGCCCACGATGGAGCTATTTTTCGATGACCTTGCGGCGAACATCCCCGATGTATCTTGGACGGCAGTCGTGTCCCAGGCAACCAGGTTTGAAATCGCGAAGTCCGTGCACATGCAAAACATGTCGGCAAAGTCGTCTACATTGCGGAGGTCCCAGCCGTTGAGCTCCTGGTTGAACTTGCAGCAGTCACGAAACATGCTGCAGGTTATTTCGGCGCATCCCATATTCCAGGCGCCAATGGGCTGGTTAAACTGTTCGCACCCGGAAAACATGCCGTAGAAGTCCTTGACTCCTGCGACGTTCCATCCCGAGATGTCTAAGTTGAATCTGTTTGTGCCATGAAGGCAAAACAAAAGCGCCAAGCTTTCGAGTTGGGACACATCCCATACTCGCGCCGGCCCGTAAATCTCCTCCACATCGGCGATGGTCTTACACTGTTCCATGATAGCCCCCGACGCGGTGTTGATCTCCGCTAGTGCTGGAACCGGCATTCGCGCGGCTTCATACCGGCGCCTTTCGGCGATAGTCATTGGAAACAACGTATCGTACGTATCTATTTCCATCCGCGCCTCCAAGAGCAGGTTGACCGCGTGATTCAGCGCACCGCGGTCTTCAAACGGCTTAAAATCGATGTAGCAGTACAGGATGTCGGCTTCAAGAAATTCGCGACTGCGCTCAAACGTTTTCTCGTCATCCGTTACGGGTTCTAAGTTGAGACCGCGACTAGCTGACGGAGACCGACACGGGCTGTTTTCATTCTCGTCCTCATTTCCAACTACAATGTCTTCACCTCCGGAGGTGGCATCGGTCTGCGGGTCCGCGCTGTTATTGTCTTCCACTTTTTGCGCAAGCCGGATGTGCTCCCAGTGCACTGGTGGACGGGTCGAAGCACAGCACTGCTTCTTCGTTTTGTCGGCCGCATTCATCCCAGCCGCGATGGCCCGCTTCAGCTCCTTCGCTGTAATAAATGCGCCGTCAGTGTTGCAATTTTCGATGAGTGCAACAACATCGAGGTCGCCGTCCGCGTGGTTGGCCAGGTTTCGGATGGTGACCGGGAGAGATGTTGTACTGCGGTTTTCTGGTCGTTCACCAGGTGCCACGTTCCCGTTGTCGTCGCCAGCCGCGGCTGCAGCCACGCTGGAACTGCAACCGCCCTTCCCTGCACTTGACATGTTTTGCTTTCTTGATATTTATAGATACGATGCCTTCAAACTTAAAACTGCGTTGGATCGATTCCTAGGCGCCTTCTTCTCTATTCTTGATGTAAACCATTGCACACGGGGAAGCGTCCTGTTGTACGTTAGCTCGAGCTAGGAATGGTACTGACTGCTACCTCCGCTCGATTTCAAATCGACACAAGAAATGCGAGGAAAAAGTAGACATAGAGGAGCAACAAAAAAACACACGCTAGAAAACGACAATGCGACTGCACTACGACAAAACCAACACCTATGGTTTGCTTCGTGTTCGTTCAACGAATTGAAAAAAGACCAGCAACAAAACGATAGCGATCGAAGCGGGAATATAACAAAATATACCTAACTACCCATCTCTACTCATTATAACACCGATCGCGCGCTTTCTCTCGAATACACTCTCGTGTGCGAGAAGGTCAAGTAGAGTTAAAGCGAGACGCGACCACGACAGAGCTGGAGACCCCGCGAGAGTGCATCTCCCATTCAACAGGAGCGGAAAAAACACTCGGCCGGGGGCGCGGCTCCGTACATCCCGTACAAAGCTCAGCAGTGCCCATCCGGCACTGCGCATCGATTTCGATACCACACTCATGTTCCAACAGCGGGCCAGCTTTTTCTGGCTCCACGACTCCATCCTTCCGGTACCTCTTGCTGCATGCAAAGAACAGCATCGGAAATAGATGTCCGTACAGGCAGGCCCCAAACTTCCCTGCCGCTAAGAAGATGTGTCTGCAAGTTCGCTCATAAAAATAAAATTTTGAAGTTTCGCGGTTTTCTCGTTGGAATAAAAACGAAATTTTGAAATCTCGGTGCGGATTGACAGCCCAAAGTGGTGACTTGGCAATAATTGCCGGTCCGCCGGGAATTACTGCCGAGGTCACCCCCGAAACCCAGAAGCACGGTGCGGACTGGCTACTCAAACTGGCGGCTTGGCAAGAATTGCCGGTCAGCCGGGAATTATTGCCAAGATCATCCCCGAAACCCAGAAGCACGGTGCGGACTGGCCACCCAAACTGGCGACTTGGCAATAATTGCCGGCCAGCCGGGAATTATTGCCAAGGTCACCCCTGAAACCCAGAATCACGGTGCGGATTGACCCCCCAAACTGGCGGCTTGGCAAGAATTGCCGGTCAGCCGGGAATTATTGCCAGAGTCACCCCGGAGACCCAGAATCACAGTGCGGATTGGCCACACAAACTGGTGCGTTGGCAATAATTGCCGGTCAGCCGGGAATTATTGCCAAAGTCACCCCTGAGACCCAGAATCTCCGTGCGGATTGGCCACCCAAACTGGTGACTTGGCAAGAATTGCCGGTCAGCCGGGAATTATTGCCAAAGTCACCTGGGAAACCCAGAATCACAGTGCGGATTGGTCACCAAAACTGGCGACTTGGCAATAATTGCCGGTCAGCCGGGAACTATTGCCAAGGTAATCTCTGAAACCCAGAATCTCGGTGCGGATTGGCGTCCCAAACTGGTGCCTTGGCAATAATTGCCGGTCAGCCGGGGATTATTGCCGAGGTCATCTCTGAAGCACAGAATCTCGGCGCGGACTGGCCACCCAAACTGGTGACTTGGCAAGAATTGCCGGTCGGCCGGGAATTATTGCCAAGGTCACGCCTGAAACCCAGAATCACAGTGCGGATTGGCCACCCAAACTGGTGACTTGGCAATAATTGCCGGTCGGCCGGGAATTATTGCCAAGATCACCTCTGAAACCCAGAATCTCGGCGCGGACTGGCCACCCAAACTGGTGACTTGGCAAGAATTGCCGGTCGGCCGGGAATTATTGCCAAGGTCATCTCTGAACACCATAGTTTCCCTAAATTATGGAAACTATGGCAGAGCGCCTCTTTCTGCAGGCGAACAGCGCCGGAAATTGGGGTCCCGCCAGTGTCTCTGCCATAGTTTCCCTAAATTATGGAAACTATGGCAGAGAGCCTCTTTCTGCAGGCGAATAGCACCGGAAATTGGCGCCCCGCCCATGCCTCTGCCATAGTTTCCCTAAATTATGGAAACTATGGCAGAGCACCTCTTGCGGCAGGCCAACAGCATCGGAAATTGGCGCTGGTCCAGTGCCTCTGCCATAGTTTCCATAATTTATGGAAACTATGGCAGAGTGCCTCTTGCTGCAGGCCAACAGCATCGGAAATTGGCGCTGGTCCAGTGCCTCTGCCATAGTTTCCCTAAATCATGGAAACTATGGCAGAGCGCCTCTTGCGGCAGGCCAACAGCATCGGAAATTGGTGCCGGTCCAGTGCCTCTGCCATAGTTTCCATAATTTATAGAAACTTCTATGGCAGAGCGCTTCTTGCGGCAGGCCAACAGCATCGGAAATCGGTGCCCGAGCAGTCTGGCCCCAAACCTCCCTGCCGCAAAGAAGGCGAAACAGACAAAGAGGCTGCAGCCTCGCTCATAAAGATAAAATTTTGAACTTTCGCGGTTTTCCGTTTCCCGCTTCATTAAAAATAAAATTTTGAAATTTATTAGGAACGCTTGTCTGGCAAAATTCAAGGCGCTCTCCCTCCCTGCCATAATTTCCCTGAATTATGGAAACTATGGCAGAGCTCCCAACTCAGATGGCAAATAGCATCGGAAATTGGTGCTCTACCAGTGCCTCTTCCATAGTTTCCCTAAATTATGGAAACTATGGCAGAGAGCCTCTTTCTGCAGGCGAACAGCGCCGGAAATCGGCGTCCCGCCCATGCCTCTGCCATAGTTTCCCTAAATTATGGAAACTATGGCAGAGCGCCTGTGGCTGCAGGCAAACAGAGTCGGAAATTGGCG